AGTTTTGTGAAGTAGAAAAGTGTCTCCTCTCTCTCTCTGTTTCTTTCTTTACATCATGTACACAGCCTTTCACAACAGGCTGTTTTCCTTGTCTTGATAATTACCTTCTCCCTTTCGATACATCCCATACCCGTTGCCAGAGTAACCTAAACATTCAGCATCTTGTCTTTAATGTCTTTCTTCACATATGCAGGATCTTATCCCAGCCCGACTGACTCTTTGGCTTTCTTTCTACCAGTGTCCTTCGTAGATGCCCCCATCCCGGCCGCGCTGAATAGCCCGCCGGCCGTTCCGTGGAGCACCCTGGCCTTTCTAGCCGCGTCGCGCCTGTCCATACTGCATTCTGCCTGGAAAGACATTCCCATCGTCTCTCTTCCTACGCCTCTACTCACCCTCCCGTGGGGCCACCTCTGCTCCTCCGCCTTGCTGATTCCCACCACCTTCCTTGACGTTGCGTTGTCATAGCAGAAACAGCCATCTCCTCTGTCCCCTGGTCCTCGCTCCCTCTCTGCCTGGAATGACACTGATGTTGGCGCCGAGCTGTGAGGAGAGGCGCTGTGACTTGTTCTCCTTGGTGCTGGCCCTGGCAACCAGCATAGCCTCTTGCATGTTGTTATTTAATAGGTATCTGCTGACTCGCACGTAGCTGTGGTGGGATATTGTCACAGACTAGGACCGAAGGGCAGAGAATCCTGGCATCACTGAGTCCGAGCGAAGTCCTCGGGGAAGCACCGCCTGGCCATACTGTCAGCATCTCTGTCCTCCCTCGAGCTGCCATAATAGCTTATAGGGAATGGCTTTTGGAGAATGGGGGTGTCATGCATCTTGGGGAGGAGACTTTCGAAGGGCCATAACAAATGCCAGGTGAAGTTCATTACAAATACAAGGTGGGTCATTTTCTTACCCATCAAAGACTGTCCTCAGTCTGCTCCCGGGCCACCCTTCTCACCGCCTCTCTCCTTCCACTGCCAGTGTGAACCCGCAGCCCCAGGCAGGCCTGCCTGTGGCTCCCCACCTTCTCCCACCAACTCCTCCCGGCCTGGGCTCATGCGTCCTCTCTGCAGATCATTCATTCATTCATTCATTCATTCCTCCAGCACATTATTTACTGGGGGCCTGCTATTGGCGAGGCACTTTTTCAGGAATACAGCTGTAAACACAAAACATGCAAACCCCTCCTCACAGAGCCTCTGTTCTGACATGCTGCCCTTTCTCTCCACCTGCCCAGATGCTAGGACAAGTTTGCTTTCCCCGGAAGCCGTTCCTGGCTGCTTCAAGCCTGATTCTTTTCTCCTGAATCCTTGGGAGTACCTGTTCCCTGTTCCTCCCCTTTGACAGACACTGCCTTGTATTCTTTGCCCTATTTATGTGACTATTTCATCTCCTCACGTGCATTTTAAGCTTTTTGAAGGCAGGGACCATGTCATTTGTTCATGAAAAGCTTGTGTGCCAAAGTATATACCCTGCATTATGTAGACTCCCTTAACCATGTTTACCTTCCCAAACTGACCACAGGGCTTTGCCACGAGGCACCCAATAAATGATTTTAATTGATTTAAGGGCATTTATTGCGTTTTGCTTTTGCAAGTGCAGCAGCTCCAAGACTGCGCAAGACCCGTTAGTCATTAGAGCGTTCATTAAGATCCCGCATGACTGTGTCACTATGTGGTGCTTCTATTTAATCCACTGCCAATTCCAGTCAAGTGCCAAGCACAACCTCTGCCCACACCTCATCAACTGAGCAAATCACCTCTGCGATACCCTGTATGATGTTTGTAAATCTTTACTGTAACACCGAAGCTGTTATTAAAAGGAGCAAGAGGGACCGGGGGAGGAGGAGGACTGCTAATTACGGCTGTGTTTGGTTCTTGGGCGTCTCTCTGCATCTTAAACGCCAGTGGGCCTCTCTTGCCTTTATTTCTGAGTTGAGGCTGAGGGGTGCCCACCAGAAACCCACCCTGCTGTTAGCAGGGCAGCAAGAGGAGCTCGTGGTTATGGTTGTGCCTGGTCATTTACACCCTTCCGCGTGGCCACTCGGTCAGTGCGGCGGGAGCGCTCACGGAAGCCGGCAGCAACGGCTTCTACGGAAGAGACCCCACCTGCAAACTGAACCTCGTTGGCCCGTGTGCCAAGTAAGCAAATTGGCTTCAAATTAAATTTTAAAGTTGAGGTATAGATTTTTAAAAGTGTTTTGTTTGCAGTGGTGGTTTTATTACAACGATCGAGAGGCAGCATGTGTGATAGTTCAATGCACGGGCTCTGGGGCCAGCTGCCTCGGGCTCACCTCCTACCTCTGCGTCTCAGCAGCTGTGCGAGCTCTGGAAGGCAGCCTGTCTCTTCTTCAAACAGGGATCATGACAGGACTTACCTTACCGGGTCCTTGTAAAGATTAAATGCGTTTCTAAACATCGGCACTGTAGCCCGCATATAATGGAAACATGCATGTCTGGATACTAGAAGATTTGAATACGTTTTTATTTGTAATTTTTCATCCCTTTTCTTCTAGTATTTGGTTTTTTGTTTTTTTTTTTAAATTTGTCCACTTATTTAACTTTTTATTTACCATAGAAGAAACTGGAATCTTTAACTGTTGCGAAGTGGTACAACAGCCTAGAGCTTCCCAGAGGCTCCTCCATTGCCAGGGCTAAAGATATCTATTTAGATCTGAATTTTTCATGCGTTTGTTCCATAGTTACATCATTGCATTCCTAAGGTGCGGGAGCTTATTAGGTGTACTTTCTGACCTCACGGTGACTAGACCATGCCCGGCAGGAATGGGTTGAATTAAGTGATCTTGGTGTGGATTTATAACCAACGACACAGCCAGACTCAGAGGTTGATTAAAGGTGAGCTGAGTGGGCGGGGGGCTGCGGTGCTGGGCCCTGGGCTCGCTCTGGGGCCTGGACGAGGCCCTCGTGGCACATCAGACGGGAGAGGAATCGTGCACTGAATGGGACGATCGGGACCAAACCATTTCTGATCAAGGGTAAAAGGTAAAATGGATGACGTTTTTAAAATGTGCATAAATGAGACCAAATGTTAGTTTAACAGCAGTTAGCGTGGAAAACGTTCTCAGGGCGGTAGCAGCGTGACACTGTAGAGTGCAGAACAGGGAGGGGACAGTGATGCAAGGGCGGGGAACACAGCGGAGGACGCCACGTTGTTCAGCGTGAAGTTGCCACGCCAGAACCAAGTTGAGGGGGGAGCCCAGGAGGGCAGGGGACCTGAAAAGCGTCAGGTGGTTTGGGTGGCGTGGAAGAGGTTTTACTTAATAACGTTCCAGTCGGGTGCATCAGTCCTTCTGTAAATGAGTGTACAGTCTGCATGCTTGGACGTGGAGACCAGGTCATTGTTCGTAGCTGTCCGACAACTGTCAGGCAGAAGGGGGCTGTAGGATTTTGAGCTTCCCGAGGACAGGGTGGGGATCACTGTGTGGGGGTGACGGGAGGGCATATGACGAGGCGTCAGCTCCGTGGGAGGGGCGCTGGAGGACAGGCTGAGTCACAGGAGTTAAGTGAGGATATGTCGCTGGCAGGGTTTTGGCCCAGGGCCCACAGAACCCAGAGATTCGAGGACACCTTACTAAGAGCTTCGGTACATTCTTGCACTTCCCACCTTGGGTTGCTCCCTACACTTTTTGTGCCCATTGTAGCTCAGCTGCTGTATTCACGGGGACGCAGGAGAATGTTCTGTACAAACATCTTGCTAGGCAAATCCATTACTCAGTTCCTGAGTAGGGGAGCATTTATTGGGATCTGTTTGGTTCCTGAGTTGAGATAGCAAAAGGTGCCTGTTTCGGTATGATTTAGGTTGGGAGGATTTTGTCAGTCTTATTTACTAATACAGTAGAATCTCATTCCTTTTTAAATTATTCTTTTTCCTCTCTGGCTCCCATTTTTCTCTGGTTTTTATGTGGTTACTAATCCTCCTTCCGTTCTGTCCTCTCTCTCAACTCCCGCCTCCTCTGCCTCTTGAGATGTTTATGTGTTGCTGCTTGTACTCTAAATAAAGACAAAATGTTTGCTCTGTGGTTCTGCTGAAATAAGTTCCTCTGTTTGCATGTGTGTGTGTATAAATACAACATGTACATGTATATGTATGTGCATGCACGATTGATCCAGTGTGGGGCTAATAATGAGCGTGGTACAATGCAAATGTACAGGACAATGAAAAGGACATTTTTGTGCAGATATGTGATTGATTTTTTGCCATACTGATCTTACACTTAGACATTTTTAAGAAAAAGCAGACAAAACAGCCACATAAAAAACCCTCTGCGTCCTCCCACTCGGTGGGGCTGGAGTTGTGTTGTGAGCTGGGGAGCAGCTCACGCTGTGAGCGAGTTCCTGACATAGTGACCTCATTCCCAACGCCGCCTTTATCGGCGGCAGCAGAAGCTTCACTGGCGGGCGCGGGGCGAGCCGCTCCGCTGCCCGGGCTGCGAGCCTGCCGGCTGTGAGTCGGGAACGATCCAGGCTTGCAAAGACTTGCACGGCAACTGGAATTTATGACAAATAGCTCACTGCAGCTAAACTTTGATCCAGTGTTCAGTAGAACCGCCTGTTACACACAGGAGGGAGATTCGTCCTTCATCACAGCGAAAAGCCAGCCTTAAAAAAAAAAATAGGAAAATGTGTCAGGTCTATAATTACGGACTGGTGAGTATATGACGCTAGATCAATGTTAATGTGAGTGTTCTTTCTTCAAGCATCTGGAGGTATGTGCCCTTTTTGCTGTTTTAATGATGAAAAGATACGAGTTGGTGCTAATGCATGCGGGGGGACCCGGGCCCCCTGGGGGGGGGGCGTTGCCCTTTGCGGCCTTGGGCTTGGGGACCTTTTTGCCTTGGGTTTTCGGGGTTGCCCGGCCAAGGGGGCGCACAGACAGACGGAGGTTGTAGCTTTTCTTGGAGCGATGACTCATTCCAGTTCACAAAGGATTCTGGGCAGGGTAGTGAGAAGTCAGGTTGGCTGATCCATCCCTATGACTTCACTTTGCAGAGAACAAGCAGAAGAGGAGTGACACTGCAGATTCCCGGGGCACTGCAGTGGGATGCTGGCCCAGTGCGAGTGGCCGTGATGTGTGGGATGGGCATGGGACAGGATCCCAGTGTTCCGTGCAAATAGGATAAAAGGATGGTAAAGAGGATGCCTTTTTCTTTTTTTCCTTCCTAAAAAAACGTTACCAGCAAAGTGCATTCACAGGGCCTTTTTAAGGTGCTTTTTGCCAGCTTTTGAACAGCACTTGTACCCGTATCTCAAGCCCTGAATTGTAAGAAGAGCTGAGAGTTCTGGAACCCATTTTTAGAAAGTAGATCTGCGAAGGTAAAGTACTGTTGTGTTGCACCGGCCCGCAGTCGCCAGTCTGAAATGTTCATCTAGGACACCATGACTCGAAAGTTTACTCTTTCTTCTTATTACAGATTCTAGGACGTCCGTTTCTGTCACTGGCTCCTTCTTGTGCTTGGATGCAACCCCCTAGCATGCACCAGGCTTTAGCGTCAAAGCTACCTGGGGGATGGAGCCAGTCCAGAAAGGGTCAGGTAGGTTTCCCCTGCTTTTTATTTTAAGAGTTGTTGTGTGCAAAGAAATATGGTAAAATGTCTACACCACCTGTGCTGAGGGTGCACGGTGCTCTGAGAAGTGGCTGGCTTTGTCATCCTCCTGCAGCCTCCATCTCAGGTAGTCCAGGTGTCCCGTGTAGGCTGCCTACCCCACGCGACCTCGCCAGCACGAGTCGTCCCAGAGCACCGCGTCAGACCCGGAAAGCCAACAGCTGTAGGATTCGCCAGTAGGAAATACACTGCTCAGATTTCCATCAGCTGTATCTATCTCTCTCTGACTCTTCCGTGGGAGGCACTTAGTAAATACTCAGCATTTTTTCTTCTCAATGAATATATGGTGCCTGAAATTTTGTGTGTTATTTGGCCTGTTAACCTACATGCAATGCACTCTAAAACCCAGGAAAGCCTGATTTATATGCCTAGGGACAGTGTCCAAGACTAACATCATGTTGAGGCTGCTATTAACTACTACGGAAGTGAGCATATTTCATCATAGTCTGCTCCAGGATTCAGAGTATGACAGAGCTGTTTTCTTACAACATCCATGGGCTTTTCATACAAAAGCTTTTTTTAAAAAAAAAAAAATATATAGTGAAATGGTAAATTTTGGTCCTCAAAAGTACATTGCATGCTTCATTTCCAAAGTGAAACTTGGCAACTCTGAAAGCATGGTTTTACCACCTCAGCAAATGTATGGTTTTAGCACTGTGTTTATTAAAGATGTTTCTGAGAGTGTTGAATCCCTTATGTAATCTGTAAGAATAATCAGAACGTTTTAAAATAATGCAAAAGGTCTTCAGTAGGCCCCCTGAACACCTCCTTTCTCTTTGTGATCACATCCATCCTATAATGCTCACCTTTTCACAGAAGAAAAGAAAGCATGTTTCCTTTCTTCGTTGTCAAAGAGGTCTTTACTTCATGCATAGCACTTTGCCTCTTTGGAGAAAAATTGAGAATGCTGAGTCAGTTTTAAAGGAAAAGGAAAAACGCAAGCATGGTGTGTTGTCAATGTAATTCTATAATGTTCTCACACTCATCAATTCTACTGATCCTTAAAGACGCTATTTAAAATCTCTCTGCCCAGAGTGTTCATCCCGATTACCCCTAATAAGTTATTTCTAAGTCCTTGAAACTCCTATTATAGAATTAATATTCTAGCCATTCATGTATTTTCAACTTTAGCTCTTCTAAGGATGAGTTGAACAGTCACGTGACTGTTTTATGATTGCCTATATTTGCACACACTTGTGTCTTGCTTTCCCACCGAAATGGTAAGCTCGTTGAAGGCAGGGATCAAGAGTCATGCCTTTTCCCATAGTTTCCATCTCCTAGCAGTTCCCTGCATGTAGAAACTGCTCAATAAATAGTTGAGCAAGACAGGCAGTTAAAAAAGCATGGATTTGTCATAGAGAGTTAGAATGACCTGTTTTGCTAATTTTAAGAATCTTCACAGGGTAGATGAATGCTCAGGTAGACCCCAGGAGTTAGGCAGGTCACTCTAGAGGTAATGCTTGTTCTTACTTTGAGATACGGTTAAGCAGGAAACTGCTTGCAGAGCCTTGTGATCGTTCAGAACAAATGTGAACGTGAGGCCCTTAAATGTGGACATCGATTACGGTTTACTTGAATTTTATTGGACAAGCCATCCTTAAGAAGTATGCTAAATGTGGAAAGTTTGTGAGAAAGTCACTTTTTTGAATCTTAGGGGAGATTTTCCTCGCAAGAGACAGATAGCCATGGCTGTTAGCATTCCAGATGCCTCCAGAAATTACCTGCCTCCTAGTGTCTTTGATCTTTACTACTAGGAGTACGTAAGTGCTAAGTTTCCCTTCCCATTCTTAGGTAACGGATTCACTCAGCCCAAGTTTTGAAATAGGCCAACTTTCTTTGATGTCCTTGTAATTCTCTGTCCGTACTATTTACCTTCTCCTAGCGCCTTTCTCCCTCCAAATTCCCTCATCTAATGCACGTTTCCCATTTGCTTTAAGACCATTCTCTCCCAGCCCAGTGATACATCCAAAATGTTACACGTTCTGTGTGTCTTTTCTGCCTCCCAGGCAGAATGTTCCATTCACTCAGTGCAGACACTTGCAGCTGACAATCAGGAGGAAGGCAATCTGGATTAAACTAATTCATACTAGTGTAAGAAAGACTGCTGCCCTCTTAGGCTTCCCAAAGAAGTTTCAGTTTTTAAAAAAACGCTTCCTTTTAGGACCAAGTGAATTCCCTACTGGCAAGTGAATTCAAGTACTGTAAAAAGAGGAAATTGGATAAATTTAGATAGACTTGGGGAAGATATTTTTAATAACTACTATTTATTAAATATTTATTGAGTCTCAGGAGCAGTGTAAGCATTCAACATTCATTTTTCTCATTTAATCTCCTCAATGGCTCTACGAGGTAAATGTTATTATGTATACTTTACAAAAGAAGAAATTGAAACTCAAAAAATTAAATGATTTGCAGGAAACCACACAGCTGAGCTCTGCTATATAAAGGTTTGACTACAGAACTCAGGATCTTTTCCACTGTCTGGTAATGCCAAATTTAGGAGAGAAAAGTTACTTATTGCTTTAGCCAATTGGAAGTTTTTCCTATATCTGCCTGGCCTGTTGTGCTTTTCTTTCTTCCCTTTGAATTCTTGCTCTGAATAATCTCAGGGCCGTTGGAAGGGGCGATAGGGTGTTCAGTTGTTGGGGAGTCCCTAGCAAGTCAGTCTGCATAGTTTTGTTGTAATTTGGAAACTGTCAACCTATACGTGTTTGGACTGTATTTAATTAGGCCTTCTTGTTCTACCACAATTGTATTTTACAGAAATCGGTCACAGTATAGTCCCGGTATCTGAGCTGTTGAGGCAAAGAATACAAAGGTTGAGAAACGGTTGTGGTGGCTCTAACTTAAAAAGAGGGGAGGAACACGTACGGCCCTGGGGATGTCAGACAGATTCATACGGCGTCCGTGGAAATCAGCAGGCGATGCATCTGCAGTGCCAGGCTGGGTTCTGCTGTGGGATGGAGAGGGAAGTACATGGTGGCTTACAGGAGGAATTTAGATTCTGTCCTCTGGGATGCGCTTATTAGAAAAGGAAGACGCCATATCACATAGGAACTCTTGTTAGCCAGGCGTCTGTCCTGTAGAATCGCGCATCTGGGAGATCTTATTGTCGCCACCTAGGATGGGTATTCCATCACGCTTTTATCCCTGGTGGGAAATGGCTCTAACTTTATCCCGGTTAAGGGACTGAAGAACAAGTGGCAGCTGGTGTTGAAAAACATCTTGGCAGGTAGCAGGGTGTGGCCTCGTCTTGTGTCTATGTGCGTAGGGCCTTTTTATTCCACAGACATTCGAGTCCCTGCTGCGTAGATAGCACTCTGCTAGGTTTGATTCCGTGGTGCCGAACTGCACACCATGCTTGCAGAGTCTGTTGGGCTGTAACGTGGAGCCTCAGCAAAGGTGTGAAGTACTGAAGCCTGAAATTGGGTTGATGGCTCATATTTCCGTCCTGACTTTTCAGCTACTTATCTGTTGCAACTAGGCGAATGGTCCATGATGTTCTGATGAGAGAAGACGTCAGGAATCCTCTGTGGTGGTGGGGAAGCCTCCCCAGCTAGGGGGTTCTCACTCAGCCTTGCCCACCGGTGGCCCTTCCTGGTCTGTCTCTGCTTATTCTATCACAATTTTTTTTTTTTTAAATCAGTAGTCAAATCTCAGCAACAAGAGCGATGGCTAATATGACTAATGAAAGTTTGGAGGCTGGGAAGATGATGGGTTTCTTCTGTAAACCAAAGAGCCAATTGATGTGTCATTTCGCCTAGTGACATGTCTCTACATTAGGCAGGCTGATACACATACAGATTCAGGTGATGTGGGTGACATTAGCTCATTTTTTTGCTGCCATTAGCCACCGTGACTGTTCTTGAGCAACTGCACTCTCATTAGAAGTTTCTCAGTAAGTCATGGCTGATGGACACCGTTAATTTCAGTGTCATTCACAGGGGCCTTCTATGTATATTCTCTTCTGCATTAATTAGAACAATTTATTCAAATAATAGCTTAGGAATTGGACTTTCTTTAAGAGACCCATCAAGTGTTGAAATAAAACATCAGGAAACTTTAGAAAAGTTATCATAGAATTTCTAAATACTCTAAAATTCCTTTTTTGAATGCCAAATCTCCTTCCCTCGACTGTTGCCATGGGGGCTCAGGCTTAAACCTTTGAAAAATCAGTGGCATTTCAAACACACCTACAGTAAACTGGTAAAAGTGCCTTTTCAACGCCAGTTTTCTTTTAAATTTCAAATACAAACATTTGAAAGTCAAGTATAGTCATCTGGTTTCAAAGGGAAGCTGCCTGCCATGGGGGTGGGGTGGGCTGGGGGAAGTGGGGGGTGGGGAGGGGTGGGAGGGTGTTAAGGGGAGCCAGATGCCGCCCCACCACGAGGGGGCTGTGGTCTGCAGCCAGCCGGCTTTCTTTGGGGAAGGAATTCCTGCTCTTTTGGAGAACAGCTTTTTTTAAAAAAAATATTGTAGCGGACCTTCTTGTTCAAAGCACCAAACGGCATGTAGACATAAAATTGGGGTTAATAAATTGAATTACATTGTAAAACACAAGATTTGTCTGAAGCTCTGCATCAGAGAAGTTGTTCACTTAACTGTAACCTCAGAGAACTTATGATTTCCCCCAAGCCCAAGGCCATTTGAGATAAAACTTGGCAAATTAGTAGTTCTGTGAATGGTGTGTTGAAAGGAATAGAGTTGTATTGTCCCTGTGCCCACTGTGCATTTTACAGACATGTTTGAGTGTTTTTATGAGGAGTCACGGTATCTACTACATGTGGTAATTTTATTGGCATCCATAATTCTAACTTTAGTGTTAATTTTGGCAGCACGGAGAACAAAAAAAAAGGCACACTTCATCTTGAAGAACAAAGCAGAGCAAGGCTTTGAATTAGGAAGAGAAAATGATGAAGTCTTTACTG